AGAGAGAGAGAGAGAGAGAGAGAGAGAGAGAGAGAGAGAGAGAGAGAGAGAGAGAGAGAGTGTGTGAGAGAGAGAGAGAGAGAGAGAGTAAAGTGTGTGCGACCCATAAAACGACCCTAAGAACTAGTAAATGTGTGTGTCGACAATAGAATTCTGTGTGTGTGTGTGTGTGTGTGTCTGTTTTGGGTTTTCACCACAACAGCCCCTAATCCACCCAGATGAACAGACCCAAAATTGCAGACAACACAGCACACTTGAGTTGAGACATTCCAACAATGAAACAGTTTTACCTCGATAGCAAATAACATGGAGCACATGAAACCTGTTGAAACTTGAAATCCCTTTGTCATCTATGTTTACTTGGCTTTCTCTGTGGTACCCCTATAATTTGTCTTGCAGCTCCCCTTTTTCCATGCCTCTCACGTACAGGGCTGGCCACGTTGATTGTGGTTGAGCGCCAGCTGCCCACACCCCCGGGTGCCTTACTGGCACCCTTGGACGTCATGAAAAAAGGCAGAGTAAGGGGGCAGGTATACTCCTGTTCATGTTTCTTCAGATCTTCGGCTTATATTTTGTCTGGTTTCTTAACAAGTAGCACACAAGGGGAGGGAGGAAGGGAAAGGCTAGGAGGCAGAGTTCCTACAGGGAGTGAGGGGCAGCGGAGGGAGAAGGGGTAGGGGAATTGGAGTGGCCAAGTACAGAACAGAGATATGACAAACTTCACTGGGTTCTAAATACTCACCGCTGGAGCAGTCTACTCTAGAATGGCAAATGGGGCAGTGTCAGTGTTCAGGTTGCAGATGACTTGGAGTTGAGTAATGTTGCCTATGGTAAGTGGCTGCCCCTACAAACCGGACAGGACCGGTTTGGGTGAGGGGGCTGTGGAAGCACTGCATCGAATTCTCGCAGTCGCAGTTGCTGCATCAAATGGCACTGCGTAGACAGATGTCACAGGCAACGTGGCTCCTACATGCTAGGAACACAGAGGCACGCTGACTGCAATTGTAGTGGCATTGTTGTTCCGGACCCCGTCTGCAAAATGGACATGACATGTCAGGGTGCTGTACATCAGTGCAGTATTGACTGTCACCATAAGTATGAAGACAACAATTCGCATGGGCTATCCCTTCATAATCCTCACAGCACAAGGCATGTGAACCACATGCCAGCCGAATCTCAAGAGGGGCATCACAAAGCAGCATTGAGCAGGTTTTCTTGCGTTTCCCCTGTGTTTCTCCCCTCTCTATGGGCAAGCAACGATACGGGGATTGATCCAGAGCAAGGCTGTTTAGCTGCTGCGGGATTTGGTCTGCAACAACTCGTCCTGGTGGTGATAACCTTTCAGTACAGCAGGCACATGCCCAGTACAGCTATGGATGGTGATGTCCCTCTCCCCGTTAATACTGGCTGACTGACTGGCTGCTTCCCCCACATAGTCGTGCAGCCTCGCAGCAGTTTCCAGCCACAATGTGTCTCTGGCTGGTCATTCTCTCCCTATATGGCAAGGCAAGGATCTGGATGCACCAGTAGGTACTGCCGCCTGGTACCTTCTGGAAGTGGCTGTCACCTACGGGATCTGGATTACCTGACTGGCCCTGCCTCTGCCTGGCCTGGCCCACTTCCTTCGGCCGTTCACATAGGGCCTTTCCTCTCTGTGTTGCAACTGAAAGGCCCTCACAGCCTCACATTCTGTCCCAACAAAAAAAAAATAAAAAAAAATCCTGATAAGCTCAACAATCCAGTCGCGTCAGCAACTGCTGTTGTCAGGCAATCTTTACACTCGTTGCCGGATCTATGTTCTTCCTTTATGAGGCCTTGAGCAAAGCAGCAGGAGTACCGGAATTTGGAACCAAATGTGTGCGTGAATGCAGGTGGTACATAGACTGTACCAGATGCAATCCGGTACACAGATTGTACCAGATGCAATCTTAACACTTGTTGTTGCCGGTTATGAGCCCTTACCTTTGTGTGGCCATCTTTGGGCCTCGCTCCACTCCACAACATTTGAAATGTACCTGGAGCCAGTAATGGTCCCGATACCCTCCAACAAATCTATCCATCCAGATTGGAGTCCAGATACATATAGAATGTGGACTGGTGGAGTAAGGCCTTTTGTTTTGCAGAAGAACCACTACGAAGACGGAGCAAGTAGTAGGACCAAATTGACGAGCTGAATGTCCGCAGGCCTATTTATGCTGCGCCTGGCAAGTGTGCATGCTGAGGGCATACTCGCACTAGGACCTTTCCTACTAAGCTCTGGACGTGATTGCACTCAAATTCATCCAGATCTGGACAAAATTCCAGTCAGATACATTTAGGAACCTGCTAGTGTGAGTGAAATCAGACTAGTCTTCAACTTCACTTTCAACATGCGTACATACAGATGTCAATGATAGAAGAGTTCTCACAAAGCAGAATCGGCAACAGTCGTGAGATGGCGCACAGCGTCCACACAGAAAACTCAGAAATGCGGCCCTTGGCCAGTACTCAGTATAAGCCAACTTGTTACAGCTTGCAGCTATTGCAACTAATCGCCTGCCTGAAGTCTCGCACGTACACAGTATCCACCATCCGATACACTCACACTCATGTACGCACGCACTAGGATCTACCCTGAATGTCCCATGCACACATGCACTCCACACTACACCCTCTGTTGACGTCAGCAGCTTGGCCGCTATGCCCGCCGTTGTCTTCCTCCTCTAGGTGGCTATGGCCGCCGTCGTCCTCCTTTGCCCACTTCGTCTTCGGGTACCTGCAGACCTTGCACAAGTCACACTAGCACCGCTTCCGCATGGCTCACAGGCGAATCAATGAATGGCTGAGCGCTGCCTCTTTATTTATACTGTGTGTGCAGCCCCACCTGGTACTTGCTGACTAGTGCAAGGAACATGAATATGGACGAAGCACAGAAATCCAGAATGCAAAATCACACTGAAGTCCAAGTAGTCAAAGCCAAAGCAGATAGTACAATGGAATCGAGTAACCATCCAATTGAGAATGATACAGAAGAATCGTGAGTCAATGTCCATGCCCAACAGGGCAACACCAACAGCATAACCCAAATGTAGCTCTCTCTTGTGAATGGCACCAGGCGCCCTATCTACTCTACAGCCTATCCTACAACTACAGCAACGACAACTTGACTACCAGCGAGTGATGATGTCAACACCAATGCCGACCTCCACCTCCACCAGGTACGTGTCCTCTTCACCCACACTCTTCCCTGTTACCCACACAGCGCCCTTCACCTCCGAAGACCACCTTCGCCCTTCACCCTCACTGCACCCTCATGCGGCCCGGCTATGGCCGCCAGTGCCCTGGTGCGCAGGCAGCGCCCTACCGCCTAGCGCTGGCCTGCCTTGCACCTCTTCTTAGCGCAGCACAGCAGCAGCAGCAGCTCGCATTAGCGCAGCGTGCCGGCATTGCCCGCAATGGTCAAGATCCCTGCCCACTCGCCCTGCTTGCCTATATGCCAGTGCAGCGTGTGGGCGGCCTCCCTTCAGCCTGCGACCGGGACCCAGAGGCTGAACCCATGCTGATGCAGTTGAGGCCCGGGGGATGCAGTTGCACCTCTTTTGTCAAGGCCTGCGGCCAGATTCAGTTAGTGGGCCGATTTCCCCTTGGCATTTTCGGCCTCTATACCCAGCATGCATTGTCGGCCTCACGTTCAAGTGCCCAGGGCCTAACTAACTCAGAGGCCCTGGGCTTTCAGCATTTGCTGAAATCCGAGACTCGGTGCACTCCAACCAACTGGCGTGCTGCAACTGTATGGACCCCACTTYGTGAAATGTTGGCACAGAGGGCTCTTGTTGATTTGCTGGCCCGCCTTCACTTAGGGCGGGCACGAGGCTTGCTGGGGCCTTAGCCCAGAACATGTACATCATGGCAAGGCCCCTACTTGAGGGCTCAATCCTCACATTCCATCCCCCTTAGCTTCGAAAGTCCGCTGAGATGCTTACTCCGCAGGTGCCTTCCCTTTCAGTAGCCTCTCGTATTCTGCCAGCACCTAAGGAGCTGTCTCAATCAGTTCCTCCCTGGTAAACCATCGATCTTCTTTCAGATCCGTACGATGCCTGAATCTGACGCGGTACTCTCTCTTGGGTTTAGGAGGTCTTCCTCGACCCATCGGCTTCGAAACAGGCATATCCCTGTGATCCACAATGTCGTCGATGTCCAATTGTCCATCCATGGTTGGGGGCAGCATCGATCTCCTGGAAGGGAATTGATCTGTCTCAGCGAAAGGTGCAAGCTTTGAGGCATGAAAGACTGGGTGAGTGCGTAGGTGTCCAGGGACACGAATGACATATGTGGGACCATCCATCTCATCTCCCACTATATCCAGGACTTCCCAGGGACCAAAGTAATGAGGCATTAGTTTGCGAGAGATTCCGAACTCCTGTCCTAACTCACTAGCCTTGACCCAGACTCGTTCCCCTACTTGAAATGTGGACTGTCTGCGATGTTGATTCTCAGAAGCAATCATTGCTTGCTGAGCTTTCTTCATATGCTCGACAGCCTCTTGCAGCAACTTCTCATACTGCACACCATACTCTAGTGTGCCTGGAGTTGCAGCGGGTCGGTTTTCAGGTAGGAGGAAGTCTAGTGCTGATCTAGGCTTCCATCCCAAGTGCAACTGATTAGGACTAACGCCAGTACTACTATGGATTGCATTGTTGTACAAGCTGGCGATGAGAGGCAACTGCTCATCCCAATCATCTTGGTTGGGCTTGATGTAATGCCGCAGCAAGTGTTGTACAACTCTGTTCATTTGTTTGGCTTGTCCGTTGGCTTCAGGATGATTCCCTGAAGTCATTTGAAGTTGACTGCCCATCTGTTCTGCAGTCTTCTTCCACAGTTCACTTGTGAATCGCTCGGTCACTAACGATTGTCTTTGAACAACTTGATGACGAAGTCAGTTCTTGCGGTCTCTGGCATAGCCACTAGTCTAGCGTACTTGGTGAATCGGATGATGATGACGAAGATGTGCCTCTTCCCACTCTTACTAGTCACCAGGGTGTCCATGAAATCCATGGAGACACTCTGTCCTGGACCAGCAGGGATAGGCAAAGGCTTCAACAACCCAAGCGGTGCTTGAGTTCGCGGCTTATCCCGCTGACAGACCTGACAGGTCTTTACATACTTCTTTGCATCATCAAACATACCAGGCCACCAAAATCGCTGTACTAAGTTAGCACTCGTCTTCTTGTAGCCAAAGTGTCCAGTTGCGTCATGGCATTCGCCTAAAAACAAACTACGCAAGGGTTCACTAGATGGAACTTCTAACCTTTTTATTCCTGCCTTATCAAGATAGAGTAACTTGTCCACCATGACAAACTCACTTTCCGTGGCCTTGTCTTTTGCCTGAAGCTTGCGAATGATGTCCATCGTGACAGGGTCTTCCTGATAGGCTCCCACCAATGATTGAGTTACTTCATTAGATACGCCGAAGTCAGAAACTAGCGCACCTAGGTAGTCTGCTCTACGGGATAACACGTCTGCAACCTTGTTGTACTCTCCCTTCAGGTACTCAAGCTTGAAGTCATATTGGTCTATGACCTCAATCCATCGCTTGAGTGCATCAGAAAGAGYCGGTTGAGTCTTGATCCATTTGAGGGTCTGATGATCAGTCCTCAGATAGAAGAATCTTCCCAAAAGGAAGTGTCTCCAATGGACAAGTGCCTTGTAGAGAGCATAGAGTTCCCTTTCGTAGGTGGACTTAGCCAACTTCTTCGATGGCATCTTCTTACTCATGTGCTCAATCGGTCTCAAGTTTTCCCCATCCTGCTGAGCCAGCACTGCGCCAATGCCGTATTGGCTTGCGTCAGTGGTCACTATGAATGGCTTCTGCGGATCGGGAACCATGAGAACTTCATGATTCATGAGTGCATGCTTCAATCTCTTGAAAGCACCCTCGTACTCATCACTCCAGTCCCACGGTGTGTCAAGTCGAGTTAGATCAGTCAAAGGAGAGGCGACTGTAGAATAGTTCTTAGCGAAGTTTCTATAGTAGCCGCACATTCCTAAGAATGACCTGACCTCAATGACTGTCTGAGGTCGTGGCCAGTCTCGAATACTAGCCACCTTCGCATCAACCGACCTAATTCCCTCCGCGGATACTTCATGACCCAAGTATAGTATCTTAGTGCGACCGAACTCACACTTCTCTAAGTTGACCTTATACTTGTGTTGTCGTAGGAGTGAGAGAACTGTCTCAATGTGCTTTGCGTGCTCCTCGGCAGACTTACTAAAGATCAGAATGTCGTCTAAGTAGACCACGACAAACTTATCTAAATGGTCATGGAAGATCCGATTCCTAGCGTGTTGGAATGTACCCGGCGCATTACAAAGACCAAAAGGCATCACTACAAACTCATACAGACCATAACGAGTCTGAAAAGCTCTCTTGTGTTGGTCTTCAGGTCTTATTGCGATCTGGTGATATCCGGATTTCAAGTCTATCTTTGTATAGTACTTGCATCCCTGCACCCTATCCAATAGGTCGTCTATGCGAGGTAGAGGCTCTGCGTTTTTCACAGTGATGGCATTGAGGCCCCTATAATCAATGCACATCCTCAAAGTACCCCCCTTCTTCGGTACGAATAGCATGGGTGATCCGTAAGGGGAAGTACTAGGCTGAATCCATCCCTTCTCTGTCAGCTCCTTAAGTTGCTTTCAAAGTTCATCTAACTCGGCGGGGGCCATCCTATAGATCCTTCCCTTTGGGGTCTTACTCCCTGGAATGATAGCGTGGACGACTTCCCTATCAACAACTCCTGAGGGCTCTTCGAACAGATCAGGGAACTTAGCAACGACGCGTTCTATCTCTGGGGGTGTTTTAAAGGCCTCCCCCTTCTCAGAGACATAAACAAGGTACATACCCTCCTCTTCGTTTTGCTTGTAATAGTTGTAGAACGCGGATGCGCACAAGCAGCCATAGGTATCTATAATACTACTGGCCTTGAACTTGGTCAATCTGACAGTTCGGCCATCGGGCAACTTGTGTTTGAGCACCTTCTTATCCCAGTGGAACTGGGGCTTAGCAACTTCGAGGTAGTACAGGCCTAACAGCATATCGAATGGCGAGTCGTCGCTAACCAAGAACGAGATCTTATGGTTAAGCTCACCTCCTCCATAGGAGAAGGTACAGACTGCGTCCTTGATGTAGTCTGTCACTATCATGCGCTCCTTGTTGGCCAAAGTAGATGCTACTGGTCTACTAAGGTGTCGAACCCGGTCCTGTAGGTGCAGCCTTTCCAAACAGTCGCGACTTATATAATTCCGTGTGGATTCGATGTCTATGAAGGCACCACATTTGCGGCCTCCTACATCCACTTCCACCACGAAATGTTCCCCTGTAGAACCCTTCTAAGTCTTCTAAGGCCTCAGACACATCTAACGTACAGAGCATAGTTTGGTCTAGATGCGTCTGCGGGGTGACTAAGGAGTCGTTAGCTTCGGCCTTGTCATGAAGTGAGGAGGGTATCATGCCCACTTCATCTTGAGTAGAAGCCGCTACTACTTCCACTGGCCCTACGCGTTTCCCGAGCTAGAAGCCTGGGAATAAGATGCCCCCATCTTTAGAGCAATCTTTTGCGTGACCTTAGCGTTCTGGCACTTGTATTGCGAGTGTCCGTACTCCCCGCAATTGATGCAAGCGCCACGCACTCGGCGATCACCCCACACATCTTGATCAAGACCTACCTTAACCCACTCAACCTGTTTGGTCTGATTGGAGGCGGCCTTCCCTTGACTCTTAGGTTGGCCCTTCCCTCGGCCACTTGCCTTAGTCTTCACTACCGCGGCGAGCGGCGAGGGTGCTACCCTCAGCTATCTCCTCGCCGTCAAACTCTATGTAGTCCATTAGGTCAGAGAGCTCGTCGATCTCTGTTCGAGTCCCATCAGACTCCACCATCATCAACTTCCCCCCCTTCTTCTTCCACTCCTGAGGACTCTTCTTCTTCTTTGAGTCATTCCCTGAGGTGGGTTGAGCATTGCCTAGCGTGGCCTCCAAGTCTAAAGCTTTCCTAGACAATGTCTCAAACGAGTGGTACTCGGTGCGTGCCTCACTGGCTAGTAAGTTCCTGACGTTCTCAGGGAGACATCTAACAAACGTTGTTAACAGGAACTGGTCGCTATAGTTGATACCTGGGACGAGGATCAGGCTCTCAACGGTAGTCGTAAGCTCTCTAACTGACCTAAGCTTGCGTTGGTCCAGTTTGTTAATGGCATCAGTGGCCCTTTGCGCCTCCTGTGGATTATGCCATCGAGCTTCTACCATTTCCATGAATTGGTCTAAAGTCAAAGACTTAGCCCAGTCCGCCATGCGTCGCCCGTACCCGGCCTTCACAACTACACCATCTAGCCACTTGGTTGCCTTACCCTCTAGGTAAGATGTCGCAGTTACCACTTCGTCCTCAAGCAAGGTCCTTTTGGCCTTCACCCAAACCGGGACCGTCCTCAACCATGTGTTGAGTTCCTCATCCTTTCTCTCGCCTGAGAAGGCAAGAGGCGGTTTCATTGGGGTCTTGGGATACCATTGACCTTGCGGTTGTCTAGATTGCTGAACAGGTTGTTGTGGTGATGTAGCAATCACCGCTGGACCCGAAGAAGAAGATGCAACAGTCTGTGAGACTGCTGCAGACGTACCACTTGGCTGGGTGCCAACTTGTACGAGAAAGGGGCCTAACATCGCCGTTAACGACAACGACGATTGTGCTGGTGGCCGGAATCCTGGCCTTGTCAATGCATCCAGGATCTGGTCCAAAGTGCTCTGCATGAAGTCCAACCTGCTGTCCACGTGCGCATGCAATGACAACATGTTGTTCTTCAACACTTTAAGGGGGTCAGACAAACCCGTTTCGTCCAATCCCTCTAACGCAGCCTTGTCATCCTCTAACGTATCAAGTCTGGTCGCTCTACTTTTTATCTCTCTTTCTCTATCGGTTGCTTTCTTCAGATCCTCTTCTAACTGCTGGCGGAGCCTCTCGACCTGCTGGGTCTCTCTGAGCTCCCTCTCACGTGGGGTCAACGGGCTGAACTGCGAGCCCGCCATTTGACTAAAAGACTGTCTAGACCCGGTTGAACCAGAAGTGCCCGAGGAACTTGTGGAACTCAGTGGCATGACGAGGACGCATACGATGACGCAGCAGAGCTTGCGCCGTTAGCCATCACAACTGCTCTAGCTGCTGTTTCCTGCTCTCTTGCTGCTCTGTTTGCTTCCTGTATTCCTGCTGCTAGAGCACGGGCTCTACATATCCGTCTTTCTTCTCCCGGCTCCAAGGCTTGGAACACGTGCGGTACCCTTAGTGCCTGAGCACGTGTTAGTCTCCTATCGTCAGCTCTATCATCAACAGGGTCTGACCCACTCATTAGTTAGACAGATACTGTCTGCACTAGAATCCCCTAGTGGAATCCTACCACAACATGTATCTGACCGACACGTAATTTTCTATAAATAGTTGTGTCCGGCGAGTTCCCTACTATACCGAATCAAGTGGCATGTCTACAACATTCACACAGATTGTCTACATAATCTAGATGCACCCTGATTGGTTCACTTACAGCAGCATTAGTTAGAACTGGCTATGGTAGCATACAACAGTCCTACACTAATCTGTCTGTGAGGTTAGCAGTCCGTCAACCAACTAATCAAAGGTACAAAAAGACAATGTAGCAGATGTATGATGAGTGGGTATTGTTGTGTATTCAGTTGAGCACCAATTGGAACCTACACTCCCCTCCATCCAACATACCGAACAGCATCTTGAGCAAAGCAGTGTTTTCGTGTGTGTATCGGCCCACCCCTGTGCCCAAGTCAGAGCCAAGTAAGCCAGCCAGCCCACTCTTATTTACCCTCGTACGGAAACGAGCCTTACACCCGGATGATCTGGCTGATCAGGAGGATTAYTAAGAGCGCCCCCATCTCTTMASGAATTCTTTAACGTCGCAGTCAGGACGACGATCACAGCCAGAATCATTCTGAGTACCCAACCAGAAATGTTTATAGACGGTCTGGTAAGCGTCTCATACAAGGCTTGCACACTTGGCAAGACTTCTATTTGGCGCAGCAAAGTGCCTTAATGGACAGCAGCCATCGCATACGTGACCTACTCCCATTGGGTTGGCATGGTGACCGTGACCCAGTGCTTCGACCAGGGCCCTTCAGAGGCACCGCCCTTTCTCCTTCCAGATTGCTTCCGGGAAGATTGTCGTCTCTCAAGGTAACGCGCTCACGACACCTCACCAAGGAGAGGACTCTCAAGTTGGACTCACTTCCTCACGGTAAGAAGAGATTGAGAAGGTAGATAAGGTAAGGGATCAACATACCTGGAGATAGCTGCCCCCAACCACAGATTTCTCACCAATTGAGCTGAATGTGCATTTGATGACCGGTCTTGACCTCGGTACCACCCACAACGCAATGCAGTGCCACCTCAGCCGAATGCAACATCAGCATGCTCTCATCACCAATCATACATTCCGCATGCATCCACGGCATACACTGCCGTCTTAACCCTCTCTACCCAGGGCGTGCACCTATAGTCGCCTGACGTCACAAGTACCCACTCAGAAGAAGCATCGTCAACGCACCAAGTCGGTATAACGCCAGCGTGCCAAAGGTAAGTGGCGATCAAACCAGCTCCGATACCAAATTGCAAGGAACATGAATATGGACGAAGCACATAAATCCAGATTGCAAAATCACACTGAAGTCCAAGTAGTCAAAGCAAGAGCAGGTAGTACAATGGAACCGAGTAACCATCCAATTGAAAATGATACAGAAGAATCGTGAGTCAATGTCCATGCCCAACAGGGCAACACCAACAGCATAACCCAAATGTAGCTCTCTCTTGTAAATGGCGCCAGGCGCCCTATCTACTCTACAGCCTATCCTACAACTACAGCAATGAAAGCAACCAGACAACTTGACTACCAGCGAGTGATGATGTCAACACCAATGCCGACCTCCACCTCCACCAGGTACGTGTCCTCTTCACCCACACTCTTTCGTGTTACCCACACAGCGCCCTTCACCTCTGAAGACCACCTTCGCCCTTCACCCTCACTGCACCCTCATGCGGCCCGGCCATGGCCGTCAGTGCCCTGGTGCGCAGGCAGCGCCCTACCGCCTAGCGCTGGCCTGCCTTGCACCTCTTCTTAGCGCAGCGCAGCAGCAGCAGCAGCTCGCATTAGCGCAGCGTGCCGGCATTGCCCGCAATGGCCAAGATCCCTGCCCACTCGCCCTGCTTGCCTATATGCCAGTGCAGCGTGTGGGCGGCCTCCCTTCAGCCTGCGACCGGAACCCAGAGGCTGAACCCAGGCCGATACAGTTGAGGCCCGGGGGATGCAGTTGCACCTCTTTTGTCAAGGCCTGCGGCCAGATTCAGATAGTGGGCTGATTTCCCTTCGGCATTTTCGGCCTCTATACCCAGCATGCATTGTAGGCCTCACGTTCAACTGCCCAGGGCCTAACTAACTCAGAGGCCCTGGGCTTTCAGCATTTGCTGAAATCCGAGACTCGGTGCACTCCAACCAACTGGCGTGCTGCAACTGTATGGACCCCACTTCGTGAAATGTTGGCACAGAGGGCTCTTGTTGATTTGCTGGCCCGCCTTCACTTAGGGCGGGCACGAGGCTTGTTGGGGCCTTAGCCCAGAACATGTACATCATGGCAAGGTCCCTACTTGAGGGCTCAATCCTCACATTAGGCTAGGTGGGACTGGGATTGGGGATTGCTGACTGGACTAGGTAGGACTGGGAGACTGCTGACTAGATTTGGTAGACTAACTGACCCCTACAGTCCTGAAGAGTCAACTAACAGCTTCGAGAAACTCTCAGCTGGGTATACTGACCCTTCGCTAGGCCTTAGGGCTACTTCTCCCATGCTGACTCAGCTGTGGTCAACTGTCTTCTGGAAGGACCTAGGCTAGACTGATAGACTGACTCCTAAGACGACTATTCCTAAGTACTACAGTTCAGGCCCCGACGACCCAACTAACGATCGAAGCACTAACCTATGACTTTTTAGGGGCAGTTCGCGCGTTCGAGGCTCACAGGGTCTACGTGTAGTTGTACAGAGGTACGGGTAGGTCCAGGGATCAAGCCCTGGGATCTGCACTGTCGCGCAATCTGAGTGAGACCGTTTCAGTGAGTATGTGCTAAGGCTGTTCCCTCGAATCCACAGCACCAGTCAGCCATGCACTTTTTTTTTTTACCTTGGACACTCCCGCCGGGGGCCTAGCCACACTGGTCACGGAACATGAAAAGTGACGAGTGCATCCCGACACAGAAAGCGGGGAGATACATCTGCCCCTATGAATAATGGCCGATGTGTCTTGCCATCGTCTATGCGAAGATGCACTCACTATCTTTCCCGGTTCGTGAGTTGTGTGGTGAGGCCCATAATTCCAATCTTCGGCTTTGCAGCAGCCTCAGAGCTTTGCCTTTTTTCCCCCTCTTTCATTTCTTTTTCTTTTTCCTTTTTTTTTTAGTTGAAACAGGTCCTTATGGTCCTGGCTCCTCCATTCTGGGGAGCTTCAGTCCGGTGTGAGGATTGAGCCCTCAAGAAGGGGCCTTGCCATGATGTACATGTTCTGGGCTAAGGCCCCAGCAAGCCTAGTGCCCGCCCTAAGTGAAGGCGGGCCAGCAAATCAACAAGAGCCCTCTGTGCAAACATTTCACGAAGTGGGGT